TCTTATCCATCTTGACAGAAGAATACGGGTTTGTATATTTTTTTTAGAAACTCGCGCAAAACTACATAAAGGTTATCTGCGTATAGTTTGTTTCTTTGTTGAATTTCACGCAAAGCTACTCGAGCGCTACCTGCTAGCCGTCGCTAATTTTGAAGTGATAGACTAGAGTGAAGGTAGTCAACACCACCGACAGCAAACTGTTGGACTGCTGAAAGGTGAAGAGTTTGGCTTGTTTTGAATTTCGCGCAAAACTACACGAGAACTACTTGCACTAGCCGTCCCTAATTTAACAGTGAAAGACTAGAAGGAAGGCAGCTAGTCATCACCGCCCACCGCCAACTCTTGGGCTACTCTTTTACCAACGAATAGTGGGATTGACCGTCACATTATAACGCCCCCACGGCCGAAAGGGTGAGCATGCTTGGTGGGACGGAGATTCGAACCCGCGACCGGCAGATTGCGAGTAGAGCGCCCTAACCACATGACCATGCCAGCCCTGTTCGGTGAAGAGTTCCGATCCAACGCCCCGAAGACCGCGTGCGAATCGAGTCTCCTAACAGCCGAACTATGCACAACTGATGGGCTATTCTTACCATGTTAGCAAAAGTTTTATAAACACTTTTTTTTTTCTTTACGAAAAGACTCTTGGTATTACTTCTCTCTGTAGCCGACCCGAAATGTGAAACTTATACAAAAAAAAATAAAAATCTATTTTACAGAGTAGTATTGGCCAATCAGAACAGTCCTCAACGTGTAAGAGAAACCAATCGGAATGAAAGATGATAAGGCCGGATATTTGTTCAATTTGAGGGGGTAATATTTAAAGTGGGGGGAGATACGCTCGTGTCTGGTTCGATTTCATGGATCAATACCTGTTGTTTGTGAACACAGCGTTGGCCTGATCCCACTTGCTTCAGGTAGCTATCATTACTTCCTGTTTTCATATTATGTTATTGTTTCGAACCTCCAGGGTTGTTTTTTTTTTTTTGGAGATATGGTTCCGAGAGCAAAATTCTTAATTAAATTTTTGGCATTTCTTGGTCTTCCGCTGACAGGTTAAGATAAGGTAAATTTTTATAAATAATTTAAAGAAAAAACTAATTCCGTTCTAAATACGTTATCTCGTCCACAAAAGAGACGTCAACCACAGCTCGGTTAAGATAACGGTTGAGGGCGCACCACAGCAAAGTGAAAACCGTTATCAGGAACACTACTGATCGTTCTATGCTTCTTAGTCTTTGCGGGTTTCACCACCACGAGCAGTGACAACGTTATTTCAGTTCATACCCACCCAGTGTAACTCATATAGCCCATTCTTAATAAGTTGAACGGAAATCGTGTATGGTCGACAATGACTAAAGATATCAAGTTTTGATCTTAGGATGAGTTACAAACAAGGGCGCCTCGCTCTTTATGCACAATATGCACGTGCGTAGGGATTTTGCCCCGTGAACCTCTTTTCAAACCGAAATTAAGATAACAAAATGAAAAACACAAAAGATTAGGAACTAACAACTTTCAAAAATTAAGAAATAAGAACATTTCTGTCTAATCGTTAAGCATTCGAAGACCCCCCCCCCGCGGATCCACAGTGCGGTACACTTACATTTAGGCTACGCCAGACTGCCGTTCTCTTCTCGTGGTCGGTAAGTAGCCGTAATAAAAATATTTTTCACCCTTTATTACATAAAATAATTTTTTATATAATGAAACATTACATTGGATAAAAATTGAGTTTTTTT